TAATTTTTAAATTTTTTATTTCTAATGTTTCATAATTGAAAATTATGCAGATTGATAACAAACTTTTTTTACTTAAAAATCCTGATTAATAAATATTATTTTTTTTTATAAATTGTTAATATTTGAATTATTTTTTTAACTTTAAACATAATTAAAGATAGTTTTAAATGTATGATATTTACTTTATGTAATGATTTGACTTTATTTTTTTTTTTAGAGGAATTAATTTTATATAATTTTTATTAATCTTTTGTTTTTCTTGTTTATATATATATATATATATATATATAAATTGTTATAGGCGAATTTGCAGTGGAATTGTTCATATTTTTAGTAACTTCTTTTTTTTTTTTAATATGATTATTCGATATGTATTCATTTATACCTCTATTTATTGTATCGATATTTTTTTTAATATTATATATATAACATATTTTCATTGTTTAATTAAAAAAAAATGATACTCTGATCCTATATATATATATATAGATTGAAAATTAGAATTGCAAGAAAAACAAAAACTAAAGTATTCTTTGTTAATACCTTTTTCTATAAGATTTTCTATGATATAATTTTTCATTTTGAATTAGAAATCATATTTCAAACCGGAAATGAAAAATTAGAAAAAAAGAATAATTTAATGTGAAAATAAAATATTCATTGATTAAAGATCGATTTATTATAAATTTATTAATCGTTTCATGGTGAAACTTTTAATGTATTTAATTATAAATACATTCATATTTCATTCAATAATCAAGTATATTTTATGTTATCAGAAATTTCGTTTAAAACGAACAACGCATGTATTTCATTATACAAAATTTATAAAAATGATTTAAATGATTTTTGTCATAATTTATATAACTTTAAAATATATTTCTGATATTTTTCATAATTTTTTTTCCATAATTTAAACACATATTGAAATAAATATTATTTAAAAATTTATTTTCATAAATTTTTAAATGTATTTTTTAAATTTATTAAATTGCTTAAATTATGAAATCTAAGATCACGTTTTTATGGAGAACCACTCATTCATATACCTACAATGAATACATAATTACTATTTCTCAATATGATACATATGTTATATGTTAATAGTTTTACATTAAAATCGGCAGTCATCGCTGGTCTCTATGACACATTATCACATTCCATATTCACGTTACATCACAAATTTTTTATCTAAAAAATAACTCATTTATTACAACTTAATTTTAGCTCATTTATTTATATATTCATTATATTATTATTATTATATAAATATTTTTATATTTCAATTTTTTTTATTTATTTTATTATATTATTATCTTCAATAATCAATACATATAAATTGATAATAGAAAAAACAAAAATTTAAAGAATAAATGAATTATTTTTCTTTTTATATTTTTTTATGATGTGACTGAAATCGAATGGAAATTGCGTCGACTCAGGTCCCCAAGTATCCTCCCTTCCATCAACTATTTACAAAATTCTTCTTGAAATTCATTCAAAAAGTACTGTAGTCACAAGTGTTCAAAATTTTTACCAATATAATATCAGTATAGTATCATAACTTCGTTTTATAAAATACATTCCATTTCCATAAATATCTATTGCTGCATACTGCCATTACAAAAAATTTTATACAAATGAGAATAAATGTAATTCAGATGAATGATATATTTGTCATGAGCATTTGATATTCTTATTTTTTCGAAATTAGATTTCTACAGTATTTTTGTTTCGTGAGTTTCATTTCATTATGAACATATGTAAAAATAAAATACTTGAAAATGTTACATTATAGAAGTTATACATAAAAAAATAATTTTTGTTATATATTTAAATAATAATATTTATAATAATTTTTCAGTTGATTATTTATTACATTCATCAATTAACTTTATCATATTTTTTATCTTCATTTTTATCACTTATACTTTTATTGAAGTTTAAAATTATCAATCTTATTGATTTTAATTTTACAAATTATTAGGTATATCCTATCTTATCAATTAATTTTAATAAGATATTCGGCAATTTTTTACAAAATTTTAAAATGAAATAAATTTTTATAAATTATTTTTAATTATTTATATTTAAAATTCAGTATTATTATAAAATCAGATATTTATTCCATATTATTATTATGTTACTGTTATAATTGTACTATAAATTTTAATATATAATAATATATGATACCGAGTATCTTATTAGCGATTATTTTCAATCTACATTAATATATTAAATCATGCTTTCAAAAAATATTTTTCTCATGACTTTTAAGAATTTAAAACAGCACTTTTTACATGCATCCCTGCTTTTCATTTAATTTATCAATTAATATTCGCTTTATAATTAAAGAATAAAACAATATATATCATATTATATATAATTTGTGTATAGTACATAAATAAATAAGATAGAACTAATTGATAATATTATATAATATTTGAAATAATTATCAATATAATGAATGGTTTGTAATAACATACAGCAATAATGTAAAAGGTTATTAATTTTTCAATTGAATAAAATTGCTATTTACAAAATTAAATATTTAAAAGATAGATATGTTTTTGAAATTTAAAATTTATACATATCTATATTAATTTCAATTTTTTTTTTTAATATTTCATAACATACATAAATAAATCCTTTTTTAAAATAATTTAGCATTAATTATATGTATCTGTAATATGTTTTGTTCAAAATCAATATTCTATTTTAACTATAAAAATTAACTTTATAATTATTTACAGCTTTTAAGTAAGTGACTTATATTGCAGGGAATATAATTGGAATTAATTAAAATATTTTATGTTCTTGTATTCGTTATGTTTTCATTTACATAAATCAAATCGAAAAAATAGCAACTATTTTGGAATTATAAATCATAAAAATAATATTAAATTCAAATTTCATTCCTATCACGAACAACCGCCATCTTAATAAAAACAGAATTATCAAATAGATTAAAACAAAATGAAAAATCAATAAAAATAATATGATATAATACTTTTAATTACAATTGAAGATAATTTTTTTTAATCCTTCGATGAAAATTATATAATGTTATATATATGTATTCTTTATTTTTTATATATAAAATGTATAAAAATGTAATTTAAAAATATTGAATTTTAAAATTAATATTTTTATATACTTCAAGATATAACTAAACATTTTTATAAATTTATGTAACATTATACAAATAATGAAGGATTAAATCATTTCCATCTTTATGCTTGAACACCTTTGGCAAACAAGTTCTACGTATAAAGATATGCGTGATCTTAGATTTCTTACTGAATTTTACTATATAAATTTTTTTTTTATTTTTCTATTATATTAACAAAATATTTTTAAATATAATAACCATGTAAAAGTTAAAACTTTTATAATTAAATGAAAAATCTGCCATTTTGTATAGAAAAATATGAAACATACGTTGCTCTTCATTTTTATATTAAGTATTTTGTTATAAATCATATGAAATATTTGTAATTATATAAGCAAAATTATGAATTACATTAGAGAAAATATTTTCTTACTTTTTATAATCGAATAATTTCTATTATCATGATATTCAATATTAAATATTTAATATTAAAATCAATAAAAAAATTTGTTGGATTTACTGAACATTCAATTATTTATATATTACTCAATTTTTGAATAATATATAAGAATCTTATATCTTAAATTTGCGATTCATACAAATATATGCATTTATGTAATTTTCATATAATAATTGCAATTCATAATATTATATAATAATATAATATATA